CTTCTTTCATGCTCAGAGTCCAACCCTAGTCTCCCTTGTCCTTCTCCTTCCTTAGCCGGTTAGTAGGCACGGCGACAATGAGCCGTCAAATACTGCTCTCCCGTTTAGCTCCTCTGCGGCCTGGGGCCTAAGCCCTCAGGCAGGGATAGCCACAGCCCCAGCTCCTGCAATTAGCCTCTGATCTACCTCATTTATCCTAGTTCCAAACTCTTTAATTTTTGTCTAGGGGCTAGCACATACACGCTCTTGTTTCAAATAACTCAGAAAAACACAATATCACAGCACATTACTAGGCCCTCTAGAGGGTAACTGTTCAGGAAATTGTCAGGGCAATCTAAAGGAAAGCTCTACATCTGTAGAGAAGGCATACAAAACACACTGCCCTTTACCCTTACCAGTTACTGTTTTAGAGGGCCACACAGACATCATTATCTGGGGTTCCTGGAGTTGCTGCCAGGGTAGAATTAAATGTTCCAATTGTGCCTAGACACCCAGTTGCTCCCTTCTTGTTTTCTGGGGTCCTTTGGTATCTCCAACTAGTTTGTGATCCCCCCCGCCCCGGAATCAAAGAAAGGCAAAGCTTCTGAGGTCATTTAGCTTGCACTCCACCTCTCTATCAGCTAGATCCATCTCTAAAGCTTCCCCATTGCCAGAAACCCTGTGTCTGTGTGGCACTGGCCCTTATTCACCACGTGTCTCCTGAAGGCCATCACACATGTCCTCCCTCCATCTAGGTCACTCTCCTTCTACTTCTTCACAAGGCAACTGCTCCATCAATCCCTGCAGGCCCCAGCTTAAATGTCACTTCTCAGGATAACCTTTCTCAATAACCCCAGAATAGAGATAGTGCCCCAATTTATTCTCTCATAGTCTCCTGTAGCTTACTGTATTTCTCCTTCGTAACACTTACCCTTTGTGATGGTCTATCTATCTATTTATCTATATACACACATACATGATTATTTGGTTGACAGCTGTCTTCCCCACTAAACCATATTGCACTCTGAGGTCAAGGATTATGACTGTTTAGGTCATCATAACCCCAGAACCTAGGCTAATGCTTGGTGCATAGGACATGCTCAGAAAATATTTGCTGAATATGAATGAATGCTGTGTCATCAAGAATTGTTGTTACTTTTAAATAGAATAAACAGATCCAGCTGAATCTCTTGTGCTCCTATTTAAACCAACTGCTCCCCACACTAAAGCACTCTTCTGATTGAGAAGAGATGCACACAATTCCCCGAATCACTTTTTACTCACATATTCTAATCTATAAAAAGAAAACTGTTGCATATGGGCCCCAATATATGTATATGTATTTGTAGATTATATACATGTACCTGTATACTTTGTATACTTTGCACATTACTTTATACATGTTACAATGCACATACATTAAAAATATCCAGTATAGAAATTTCAAAAGAATGAGAAAAAATCAATATATTGATGTGCCAATGTTTTCTTTCTGCACCCCAATGCATTATTTTGTGAGCTGCTTTAAATAAGTCCTTCATATTACAATCTCTCATCTGTAGTTCTAATAATCCTTTTTCCTTTCCTCATAGATGCTATTTTCCAACAGTTTAATCATCTCTGAGAATTCCCCAAACCTACTTTAAGGGTCTTTCAATTTCTAGGTTTGGATAGCTAGTTTTGTAGTCAGGACCTCATAACTGCTGAAGGCATCACACATTTGGAAAAATGATGGAACCCCTAGGGGTAAGCAAAATTCCATGTTAAACCAAAGACTTCTAAATGCAAATCTCACATTCAAAGAATCACTAGGGGCCACTTGGAAAGCAGCTGTTGTCCTCCTAGAATAGAAGCAACATGACTGCACTAGTTGTGAAGGAACAGCACAAAATGGACTGCACAAAGATTCAAAGTAACAGCTGTGGATGGTTTTGTGCATCTCAAATGGGACCATTCCCAATGATCTAGCATTGAGGCCTGTCAAACCATGACCTCCATGCATAATAAAATAATATATTCCTATCTTTATAATGCAGATACACACATATACTCAAAATAGAATCATAGTGTGGTCAGTAGATATGAGGCTAAACCAAGATTGCCTTTTGATCCCAGATATAAGGTTACCTTCAGAGAATAACACACACACACACACACACACACACACACACACACACACACACACACACACACCACACTTCAACAGTCAATGAACAAGATTACTTATTCCCAAAAGCATCCAATCTTGAGCAGCTTGAAATACATTGACCAAGGCTTACAAAAGACATAATTGGAATATGATTAACTTAAAGGCCTGGTCCAGCGGTCACAAAATCTATGTACAAAGAGTTGCATGAAACATTCAAATAAATTCATTAAAAGTGCATACTTAAAAATTTTTTTAACTTAAATATATGGAGTACAATTCAGGGTTAGGTATACAAATATTCATTATGCAGATACCCTTGTTGATGAGGTGTGCCTCTCTCCCTTCCTGCAGTTTCCCACTACTGCCAATCCTTTTCTTAAAATATTATGATAATTGTTCAAGGTCCACTTATGAGTGAGAACATGTGATACTCAGTTCTTTGTTTTTGTGATAGATCACTTAGTGTTACAGTCATATATAGGTCATGCAAGTTGCCGCAAAGTTAATAATTTTGTCCTTTTTTATGGCTGTGTAATATTCCATCGTGTATACATACCACATTTTTTAAATCTAGTCCTCTTTCGATGGGCAGCATTGGTTCCATGTTTTTGCTATTGCAAGTAATGCTGCAATAAACAACAGCTCAATCTTTCCCTTCCTAGAGTTGCATTGTGTATTAGAGCATTAAATGCTCTTGGAGTCCTAAAGAGAAATCCGTTTTTTTTTTTTTTAGTCAACATTTCCAAAACTTTTGTGAACACAAATTTCTTTTGTTTATGGAGCATCTAGTAACGGGACTAGTATACCTCAGGACCCAATTTAGCAATTGCTGTCCTATCAATTGTACAACATTATAATGTGGTAACAGAAGGACACTGGTTTGCCTAGAACATGGATGGCAATAGGTGTCATCTTGATTGATTTGTAGTGACTTCCTAGAGAATGATTCTGTGGAGGATTCCAAGATGTATCCAGCTCGGTAGGAAACAGCGATTAGTTAGTAATAATTTCCATGGATTAGGCAATGTGTTTTCCATCATTGGTCTAGAGTACTTATGTGGCAACTATACATTTCATATTTTCCAGATAGTCCTGATATCAAATATTTTGTTCTGTTGCCCTCATACTTACTGTAATACTTATGAAACCATCTAATACTTTAGTCAGAAAATATAGCAGCCATAAATATATGAAAAGGAAATTAGACAGTAAGAGTCTGTCCATTATTTACCTATTATTGTCCAAAAGCAAGTCACTGGTTCTGGTGATACAATATTATTTTTTATCACTTGACACATGGATAGTCTTATGGAATAGGAATACCTGGCCAGTTTTTCCATAACCAGAAGGAAAGATCTGTTCAGATTATCCAACTAGGAAAAGCATCAGTATGAACTCAGTTTTGTTATTTTATAATCATATGTATTTTTAAGCTCTGTTCACTAAAAACACTCAGAAACAATGAAAATCACAGTGCCAAAGGGCACCTCTAGTGTCCAGATGATGGTTCTAAATACCATTTCCCAATAAAAGAAACCAGGATTTTCTAGAGAAATGGTTGATTCCAGATCCATGGCAAGAAATGTCCAAGATGAACCTGTAGTATCTTGTCACACCAGATAGCAAGGAAGCTAACAAACACTACTAGGGTTGTGTCAAAAGGACTTGAAAGCTAACTTGAAGAGACTCTCACTAGCCAAACTTGGGGCAATATGAGCATCAGTAAAGATTATACTCATGGTAAATTGAAATATATGAAAGATGCTTTATTTATTTATTCATTTATATATTTATATATTTTTTTGAGTTGGAGTCTCACTCTGTCACCCAGACTGGAGTGCAGTGGCACACTCCCAGCCACTGCAGCCTCGACCTGCTGGACTCTGGCGATCCTTCCGCCTCAGCCTTCCAAGTAGCCGGAACTACAGGTGTGTGCTACCATGCCCGGCTAATTTTTGATTTATTGTAGAGACAGCTCTCACCAGGTTGCCCGGGTGGGTCTCGAACATGTGGGCTCAGGCAGTCCACTTGCCTCGGCCTCCCAAAGTGCTGGGATTACAGGGTAAGCCACTGAACCCGGCTGAAAGATGTTTTAATATATAAGTTCATGAAATTCTTAAAAATATAAGTTGTCAACTTGGAGAAACCTAGAAAACTAGCTCATTATTTTGAAACTGACAAATAAAAGGAATGAATCTAGTATTTGACCTGCTTTTCTCATACAAACTCTTCCTTGGTGTAACCAAATAGTTGGTGAGGAAAATGTTTTTAGAAGATTTCCAGCTAATGAATTAAGAAGGAATGATAAAATTACAAACTTTAATGAATTAATGGATTTAGGCAATGATCATTAATGTCTGCTAACAATACAAAAAGAGTAATAACCACTTATCATATGTCTCCTGATAAAAAACAAAGCTGCACCTATGAAGCTTTTTTTTGTTAAAAAGTAGAATTTGAATCTGACCCAGCTTCCAGATATGACTACAGATTTTTAGGAAAATACAAGAACAAACATGTTAAATAACATTACAGAAATGTAAGCATCCCAACTTGAGTTTAGGGTGTGTGTGTGTGTGTGTGTGTGTGTGTGTGTGTGTGTGTGTGTGTGAGGGACACGACAGAAAAGCAGTGTGGTTTCTCCAGCAAGGAAATTGCAAGAGGAAATCCAAAAATGGAAGCAAGAAAGAATTGCATTTACAATAGCATCAAAGATAATAAAATATTTAGGAGCTAATTTTTAAAAAGGAGTGCAAAAGTAATATTCTTTAAAA